AGCAGATTTTTTCACTTGAAACCATGGAAGTTATATTTATATTTATATCTGACATTTCTTTTTTATGTACTGAAATTAAGAAAACCAAAACAAAAAACTGTCAAGTCCAAAATCTATCTCCGACAAGAATATCCTTTAGAAATTCTCAGAGGAAGGAAAACTAAAGATTTTGTCACTATCACACCTGTCCAAAAATAATAATTAAAGGAAGCTCTACTAAAGAAAAGAAATTGTAAGAGAAGAAGTCTTAAATTAAAAGTTATCATCAAGTCAATTTCAACTCATGGTGACCCATGTGTGTCAGAGTAGGACTGTGCTTCAGAGGTTTTCTATAATTGATTTTTCAGAAGTAGATCTCCAAGTCTTTCTTATGAGACACCTCTGAGTGGATTCAAGCCTATAACCTTTTGGTTAGCAGCCAAACAGTTAACAGTATGTACCACCCAGGGACTCCAAAGAAAAGGGCTTGTGTGCCAGTGAGTCAGTTCCAATTCATAGCAACCCTGTAGCTGGTGGATTAGAACTGCCTATATTGTGGTTACCCATCCAATGCTTATCCTACGGGGGCCACACTATGGCTCAAAGAACACTTGGAACTGTGGAAAGAACAGAAGAATAATGGACTGAGTTAAAATAAAGATAAATAACATAGACTCTCCTCCTCATGATTGAATCAAAAATTACAATGCCAGAAGATGTGATGATAAATGTATGTAAAGAAGTATTTCAGACATGTACATTTTAAAGGTGGGAAGGGAAAAACGACCTCAGTGAAAGTACGTTTTCTATACATCACTTGAAGTAGTAAAACATTGATACCACTTAATCATGATTAGTTATGTTTGTAAATTATAATACTTAGAGCAACCACTATTAAAATGATGTAAAATTAGATACTCAAAAACATTTCAAACAAATTAGAATACAAGAAAATAGAAGGAAAGCAAGAAAATAGAAATTGAAGGGAAAAAACAGGGGTAACAAACAAATGTCACATAAAAACTGACTGACTTAAATAATATTTATATTATTTCATTAATATTTCAATAATTTGCCTAAATACACTAATTAAAAGATGGAGATTGGAAGAGTGGATGAAAAACATGATCCAACAAGATGCTGTCTACAAGAAACTAACCTGAAACATAGCAACCTCAGTAGATTGAAGCAAAAAGACGGAAAAAGATATAACGTGTGAACATTGATTTAAAAAAAAGGAAGAATGTCTATATTAAATATCAGATAACAGATTTCAGAGCAAAGACATTTACTAAAGAAAAAGAGAGACGTTCGTTGTTGTTGTTAAATACCATTGAGTCTGTTCCAAATCATAGTGACCCTGTATAGGGTTTCCAAAGAGCAGCTGGTGAGTTTGAGCCATTGACCTTGAGGTTCAAATTGACCTTGCAGTCCAGTGCTTTACCCACCAAGGAGGCTTAATCCACCAAGAAGACATGATCTTATATATGTATGCACCAAATTCACCAACAGTGTTTCTGCCAAAAATTTCAGAATTGTTTTTCCACAACCCTTTCTTGAAAGTTTTAGTGATGTTAAATATATTTCTTTGTATTATTTGCCCTTTATTTTCCCCACAACCAGCCCAACTTCTGCTAATTTCCTTATGATGATTTTTTCCCCCTAGCCACCAAGATAAACACCATCATTTTTAATCAAAATGACTCTTCCCTTCTGGTGTTTCTTACAATGTTTCTATTCCTTTATGGTGGTTCTTATCCCAGTTCAGGTATTCATTTCACAAAACTTCCTCACTTGTCTCTACCCTTTCCAAACCAGATTAATCATCCACTAAAGTGGCTGTCACTGCCTCTCACACAATCTAAACTCCCACTCCTGGTTCACAGATTTTCTGCACTTTGCCCACAAAGTCTCATTTTTCCCTTTGCTCCCATGCAATTGTATCTCACCAATCCCTAAAAATGTGTCCAGATTCTTCCATCCTTGTAGTTCACTACTTCCACTGAAAGTTACCTTTCTCCACCTGAAAAACTTTTACACTTTCTTCAAGGCCCTCTTCAATACCAACTCCATTAGGATGAGGGTATTTGAACAGGTGTTGAACATGAAATAATGTCTTTCTCACAAGGTATAATCTCTTTTTCTTTGAATTCCCTATAAAATATTATACTTCTCTAAAGATGCCCAGCGTAATATGTCCTGTATCTATTGATATGTATCTTTAACTTCACTCCCTAAATTGTAACTTTCCAAACACACTAAGAACATCTTCATCTTTGTACCCTGTACCCTCTGCAGTGCCAAGTTAAGTACAGTATAATATTAAAGACTTAAAAAATACTTATTGAATAATTTAAAAACCAAACCTATCTCCTTCATCCAAAATATTCCTTCATTCTTCATCACAAATTTGAAATCTTATCTTTCAAACTTAAAATGCTAATTATCAGTTCAACTCATTATGTGTCCTAAAGCATAAATTGTTTAATTAAAAAAAACTTTTTTCTATTGCATATAACAAAATATACATAAGTGAATTTATATGTAAGAGGGGATTCAACAACTTTGTGGGAAAATGGAATTAAAAGACATTGGAATTTTTCCATGAACTTATTGAAGCCTCCTCAGATATACATTGGGAAAAATCTGCTGCCAAAAAAAAAATCTCTTTAAAGTATTAAAAAAAAAAAGCAAAGACGTCATTTTGAGGAGTAAGGTGTCTGACCCAAGCCATGATACTGTCAATCTCCTCACATGCTGTGGAAGCTAGACAGTTAATAAGGAAGATTGGAGAAGTAAGCGTTGATGCCTTTGAATTGTGGTGTTAGCAAAGAATATACCATGAACTGCCAGAAGAATAAACAGAACTGTGTTGTAAGAAGTATGCCACAATCCTCCTTAGAAGCCAAGACAGAAAGACTTCATCTCATGTACTTTGGGCATGTAATCTAACCAGGAGGAATCAGACCCTAGAGAAAAACATCATACTGAGAAAGCAGACGGTAAATGAAAGAGAGGAAGATCCTGAACAACACAGATGGACACAGTGGCTTCAACAACGGACCCAAACATGGAAAGGATTATGAGGGTGACATAAGAACAGGCAGTGTTTAGTTCTGTCTTATATAGACAGGGTCACTGTAAATAGGACCTGACCCAATGACACTTAACAACAACAAAGCAACATATGCTTTTGTAGAAATCATACATAGTCTACCTATAATATAGACATACATATAACTTCTATGAAGTCCTGGTATGGTGCTGTAGGATAAGCATTAGACTGCAAGGTCAGTCTGAACCACAAGGGCAGTTATTCAAACCTATCAGTTGCTCCTCAGAAACCCTCTCCAGGGCTGTGATGAGTCGGAACCAACTTGACGGCACTTACCAACACCAACAACAACAATGACTTCTCTATGTATATTTATGTTTTCAATCTTTTTACCAAACAATAACATCCTTAGTAAAATGTCCTAAAAGCTGACCTGAAAAGTTAGATTAGGGGATTAAGTGTTTCTTTATAATAACTGATTTAAGCTTTCTTGGTCTTTTAACTATAAAATCATTTACACTTGTAATATGAATAGCAAGAACTCTGAACTCTATAGAAGAAGCATATAATGACAATTTTTACGTACCTTCTATATGTAGTTTGCACTGGTGAGTTCTCAGTGACCAATGGTTCCTCCACACAGGGTTTCCTCTGATGCTTGCACTTACTCAACCCTCCTCCACCTGGAACAATGTGTACCCAGAGAACATAATTTTAATTTAGTACTGATCCAACCTAAATGTAATTTAAAGGATGCAGTGAATATTTTAAATGGATGGTAGATTCCAAAGCCAGAATTGTTTTGTACTTGACACTAAACCAAACCCACTGTGATCGAGTCGATTCCAATTCATAGCAAACCTATAGGACAAAGTAGAACTACCTCTTTGGGTTTTCAAAACTAAATCTGGATGAACAAATAGTGTCATCTTTCTCCCGCAGATTATCTGGTAGGTTCGAACTGCTGACTTTGCAGTTAGCAGCCCAACAAGTAACCCACTAGCCACAAGGGCTTCTCTTCAGACCACTACTCCCACTGATTTTTGCAATTGACCATATGTGAAATTAACTTATTTTCTGTCACTGCTTTTGGAATCCTGGTGAGTCACTGCAAGATAATGCACTGGATGACAAGGTCAGTTTGAACCACAAGGTCGGCAGTTCAAACTCACCAGCGACTCCTTGGAAACCCTATATAAGGTGGCTATGAATCGGAATCAACTCTACAGCACTTAACAACAACAATCACTACTTACTTTTGAAGTCCTGATGTGGCACTGTAGGATAAGCACTGGACTGCTAACTACAAGGTCAGTGGTTCAAACACACCAGTCACTCCTTGGAAACCATATATGGGGTTGCTATGAGTCAGAACTGGCTTGATGGTACTAAACAACAGTCACTACTTTTACACCAGTGAATTTCCATTTTAAGATAATATTAGCACATGGAGTGGATTATAATCATTGTAATGAAACAAGGTGTATGATTTGTTGAATGTAATACTAATGATCTGCCCTGTAAATGTTCACTCAGTCCACAGTAAAAACCTTAAATTTAAAAAAATATAAAAAGTGGCTGAAGGTAGAACACCCTTGGTGAAAAACAGAGGACAAGTTGTGGGTCAATGAATAGTCTCTACTGTCATCTCAGTTTATGGATCAATGAACAAACACTGGGATGGTCAGTTAGAGAGGCTAGCTGACACCCAACCTACATTCCAGAATTTGAAGAGGCTCCACTTTGAACATCATATTGAAAATTTATTTGAGTTACATCTCCACATTTTATGGCCATATAAATATGGAATATTTTGCATTGAATTTTATCCCTTCCTAGGATGATTGACCAATAATAAATCATTCATTATTGGCCAAAATAAAGAAAAACACTATATCTTTTTAAAGAGAGAGAGAGAATATTAGCATGTGTCTCTAATAAAATATTTATTGTTTATGTTTTACAGATCCAGTATCAGGGTCTTCTTTAGACTGGGCATATGATGTGGGCATCAAACACACATTTGCCTTTGAACTTCGAGATAAAGGCAAATTTGGTTTTCTCCTTCCAGAATCTCAGATAAAGTCAACCTGTAAAGAGACCATGCTAGCTGTCAAATTTATTGCAAAGTATATTCTCAAGTATGCTTCATAAGGAATTATTATCCATTTGATATAAGTCAACTAAACACGTGTCTGTGCCTTTCATGGGAAAGTCAACTGTCATCATCCATGCATGAAGCTTCCACATTTTAGATCCTTCACTTGCTCACCTAAGTACTGTGTTACTTTTGTTTGCTTTCATTTGTATTTAGTATTACTTTAACAAAGTACATTAAATAAAACTTTTATTCACTTTTCCTTGCTTCAGGTAAAGTTTAAGCCCAGCAGAAAGTAAAATTTTGAGTATTTTTTAAAGATGTTACGCAGTGGGAAACAGGAAAGAAATGAAAACCTTCAATTTCCCCAGAATCTGATTATGACCATGAGGCTTTATCATTCTGTATGTTAATATAGTAGAAATAAAATGCATTTCAGTTTTTTAAATGTCTCTTTTGTTTTTAAGGTATATTCTCTACATTTCTCTATTTGTATTAATAATCAAGCATTTACTGCCTTTCATTTAGATGTTGATAAGAAAGAGTATTTTCAATCTTAAAAAAATATAATTTACCAATATATTTATCTCTACAAAAACAACATATTAATACAAGTAGACATCTTGTATATCTTCACATTAGCAAACCACACCAGGACTCCAAAAGGATGTTATAACAAGAACTAAAATGGTTCATATAAAGATGAATCTCAGTGTTTTAAACAGTCAATCCACTTCTCACCAACATTAAGCACATTAACTTCAAAATAATTGAATTTAACCTGCCATAATCAAAGGAATCTACCTGTCAAAAATACCTCTTGGCAGTTACAGACAGTTCTGTCAGCTGTGACCCCAACCCTCCCAACAGATAGAAAGGAAGCCTAAAATTGTATGCATAAGTAAGAGAGCGAAAGCCATGTCAGCCAAGGGCATTCAGAGTAACTTATCTTTACAATATCTACAATAGCATTTTTTAAATGATGATGTTACAAAATACCACAACCCTCTACCTTAAATCCTCATGTGACAGTAGTGATAACACTTTCCAGATATCCTGAACACAAATGTCTACCACAAAGATAAGCATAATTTATCCTTGCCTTTCCATAGACATATATTTCTCAGAACACTCTGGAAATAATTTTCAAGGATCCCGAAAGATACTGAGAAACCATGTCAACAAATGTCTAGGGACACTCCTCATGAGGAAGCATGGTGACTCCATAGGATAAGCACTGGGCTGTGAACTACAAAGTCCGCGGTTTGAGTCCACCAGCCATTCTGAGGGGAAAAAAGAGGCTTTCTGCTTCTATAAACATTTAAAGCCTCAGAAACCCTATATGGGGTCACTGCAAGTCAAAACTGACTCCATGACACTTAACAACAACTCCTCATGAATCTTTTAGCAACCCACTAATAATTTATTTTTTAAAAAAAGGATATCATCAAATGTACAAGGTGATAAAATTCCTTCTGATAGTTGTCAGGTAAGTAAAAGTTTTTCATTCAACAGAGGCAGCAAGATAGCAGACTTAACAGAAATGCTACACAGACCCTCTACAACAAAAATATGGAAAACCCAATGAAACAGACATACGTGATATTCCTAAAACACCGAATTTCAGATGAAGGAATAGAGAAGTGGACCGAATGTTTACTAGTAGAAGAAACTGATTTGACATGGCAAAGAGAAGAAGAAGAAGACAGACTGGTGTCTTGTACCAGCCAATCAGACATGGCATGATCATCTTAAATTTTCAGGAGCAGTTTTAGAGACAAGACAGCAGCTTGGTGGTCCAGAGGCATACTGGTGACTCACAGAGGTACAATTGTTTTTTGTTTCCCACACTATCCTGGTGACCAGAAGTGTGACTAGGCCGTACCTTCATACACCCTCAGGGGAGTTCCTGCTCTCCCAGAAGTTTTGAGCACAGTTGTGAACCCAATTAAAATGAGTTGGGAGTTATCCACACCAACTCTAGTGCCTGGATTCAGTTGAGCCCTGCTCCAAACCTGCACACCCGGACCTGGCAAGCCCTGAACTAGTGACCACTAGGAAAAGAGGCCATACAGATAAGGTAACCTATGCAAAGATGTCAGCTTGAGGACTAAGGTGCACCTGACCCAAGCCATGGTATTTTCAATAACCTCATATACATGCGAAAGCTGGACAGTGAATAAGGAAGACCGTAGAAGAATTGATGATTTTGAGTTATGGTGTTAGAGAAGAATATTGAAAGTGCCATGGGCTGCCAAAAGAACCAATAGATCCATTTTGGAAGAAGTGCAGCCAGAGTGCTCCTTGGAGGTCAAGATGGCCAAACTTCGTCTCTCATACTTGGGACATATTGTCAGGAGGAACCAGTCACAAGAGAAGGATATCATGTTTGATAAGGTGGAGGGTCAGAGTAAAAGAAGAAGACCCCCAACGACATGGATTAGCCAAGTGGCAGCATTGATGGACTCAAGCGTGGCAACGGTAGTGAGGTCGGCCCAGGATCAGACATTATTTCATTCTGCTGTGCATAAGGTCCCTATGGGTCAGTAACAACTCGATGGCACCTAACAACAGCAACAACATTTTGGCCGGTCAGGTGCAGCTTGGTCCTTTCGAACTTCAAGACTGGCTTTCTGAAGGCAGAGACTTCTTGATAGCATAGAGACATACTACTTACTGGCAGAAAAAAAGGGGCAATTTTTCTTTCTTGTACCCCATATTACCCTGGTGACCATAGGTGTGGCCAACACCCACCCCCAGCAAAGCTCCTGCTCTCCAAGCAGTCAGAACTGTACGACAGTGAGTCATGCCATTGTAAAGCATATCAAAGTGAGATGGAAGCTATCAGCATCAACCCTAATACCTGGCTTCAGGTGAGGATTGGTCCAGAACCCCAGAGCCAGTTCTAGCCAGCTCTAATCCAGCAGGAAATCTTGCCCTCAACTGCCTTCTGGGATGAAAAGATCTTGTTCCCAGTTTCTTTAGGGTCTGCATGAATACTTCTGGATTGGGTGCCCAGAACACCTAGGAATATAGGAACTCCATCTAGGGTCAAACACCAAGGTCTCATCCCTTGTTCAGCAGCCACATGAGATCCTTAGCTGGCAGGCGCTCCCAGAATTTTCTCTTCTCTGAATCTGACACCTGCCCTGGTTTTTTCCTTTCCTTGTTTTACTTTTGATGTTGTTTATTCATTTTTCCTCTCTTCACTCTCCCTTGATTTTTATCCTCTGATCCACTTTTACATTTTTTCTTCTATTTCTCCACACCACCACCATCACCCTTCCTGACCCCCCACTTTGTCTTTCTCCTTTTTTTTGTTCTTGATTTTACTGTACTCCTCCTTGCTCTCCTTCTCATTGACTCTTCCCTCTCCCTAATTGTGTTTGGTGCTTTTTCTTTCTTTTTATTTTCTCTCTTATATTTCTCTACTGTGTTGTTGGGGTTTTTTTGTTGTTGTTTTTAATGTTTTGCTTTCTATTCCTATTTTCTCCTCTTGGTTATTGCATTCTTTTCCTAGATGCTGTCTGTTTTTTTGTTGTTTTTTCCCCTTTCATCCTCTACTATTTTTTTTCACTGTTATTTGCTTATTTGGGATTTTTCCCCCCTTTTGTGTGTATGTGTTTTTCTCTTCTTGCCTCACCTGATGAGGCACAGCAAGCATGGCCACATAACCCAGCTACCTTCTGTAGTCACACTCACTGGGCAAGAGTCAATACCAAATAATTGTTATCAGGACTGCTTGTGAGGGCTGAAAATGTAAAGGTAGATGTTTTGTAGCAAGGAGGGAAGTGATTAACTTTGCAGTCTAGGAGCAGAGGTCCCTGGGACCATCAAGGGAGAAGAGTGGAGAGCGGGACCTTACCCAAAGAAGCCGTGATGTCTGAGATGGAGGCACAGACGATGACATGGAAAGATGGAACTGTTGGGAACTTTAGACACAGAGAGGGAGAGGGGCTGTGTGCTGACGACTGGGGGACAGGCTTGTAGTGTATACCCTTTGGTTGGTTGATGATACAGAAATACTAAACAGTACAATCAACCAACTGGACCTCACAGCATTATACTGAGCACTTAAGCCAAGAACAGCACAATATACATTCTTTACCAGTGCACATGGAACATTCTCCAGAACAGGCCACATGTTAGACCACAAAGCAAGCCATGATATATTTTTACAAATTGGAATACTATAAGGCATCTTTTCAGACCAAAATGCTATAAAATTAAAAATCAACAATGGAAGATCAAGAAAAAAATTCAAATACATGGAAATTGAATAACATCCTGCTTAAAAGCTACTAGGTAATAAAACAAATTTTAAAAAATGAAAAAAATTCCTTGACTCAAATGAGAATGAAAACACAGTATACCAAAAACTTTGGGACACCGCAAAAGCAGCGCTTGTTGTTGTTGTTAAGTGCCCTCAAGTCAGTTCCGACCCATAGCGACCCTGTACAGGGTTTCTGAGACTGTAAATCTTTATGGGAGCAGACCGCCTCATCTTTCTCCCATGGAGTGGCTGGTAGTTATGAACTGCTGACCTTAAGGTTCGCAGCCCAATTCGTAACCACTAAGCTACCAGAGCTCCTTAAAAGCAGTGCTTAGAAAGCAGTTTATAGCAATAGAGGCACACATCCAAAAAGAAGAAAAAAACAAAATGACAACACATGTAATGTAACATCTTCAACAAACAGAAAAAGAGCAGCAAAGTAAGCCTACTTCCACAAGAAGAAAATAAATAATAAAGAAGGTTGTTGTTAAATGCCATCAAATCAGTTCTGACTCATAGCAACTCTGTATAGGGTTTCCAAGGTGTGGTTGTAAGCTTGAACCACTGACCTAGTAGTTCAAATCAACCTTGCAGTCAAGTGCTTGCGGTCCAATGCCAGTCCATTTTAGTTCAATAATGTCTAGGATGTGGTCCTAGTGTGGTGCTGTAGGATATGCACTGGCCTGCTAATAGAGTAACCCAGGCTAAAGGCAAGAAGTGACTGGATCATAAGCTTTCAAAAGGGAACCTAGTTCTAGATGGGGCGGGGGAAGGTAGAATCAC